TTTCAGTTGGACTGGTCCTACAAAAATATACTGGTTTGATTTCCCTTTCTGCACCATCTCCCTCTTCGCTCTGCCTGGTATCTTATGTGAACGCGACATCATCATGAACGTCACACAAATTTGCATCACTCATGACTTTTTTTTTCAGTCTGGCTAATTTCCCATATCCTTTTGTTAACAGGATATACGATATGTAGAGATATGTAGTTAGCCAAATGATCCTGCTAAAAAAAAGAAAAGAAAAAGAAAAGCAAAAGCAAAATAATCACCAATGCAACTCAAAAATATCACCCATAATAGAAAAGCAATAATTATACATAACATGACTAAAAGTATTAATAGTAGTTATAACAACACTTAAAAAACGGTGTAATGATTATGATCGTTGAGTTCCCTCTGTGTTATAAATGTGGCCGACAGAAAGAATAGTTACAGCGCCAGGTGTCCACCAGGTGGTGCTGTAATACAGTCAAACGCAATGAAAGAAGAAACGAAATACGGTTCAGTAACAGACAGCATAAGATACAAAAAAAGACATGTATAAATAGGCATATCATTAAATACTATGTTGTCACAGAACACATACTTTTCCATGGAGTTGCCATGGAGACTGATTTTTGGAGAATGAGACGTTCTTTCGCCGATCTTCCTCCTTTGATCCATTGACCTCTTTAGCGCGTGTCACTGTTGTGAGGGCATCATCCACATCTGCACAGTCCATCCGAATAAACCGGAAACATGTTTCCAAGGAAACCATAGCCAAAAATATCAAATCATTCTTACAAGAGAGGGAGAGAGAGAGAGAAAGAACGAGGAGAGAAACAGCCTGAAAATGACTGGCAGAGATTCTTGTTTACTCTCCAAGTTTTCACAACCTTTGTTGCCAATATTTAACTGGGTCATGGCAGGGTAGACCTGGCTGTGACTATCTCCTTACTTCTTTGAGTGTACACACAGGCAGCTTCTGTGAGTGTGTGTGCGTGCATTTGTCATCGAGAATGACTTTTCCTGCTTTTTTTTGTTGTTGTTTTTTGGGGGGTGTGTGGGGTGTGTTTGAGGGGGTCCACCCTCTTTTCATATTCACTTTGTGTCTTCTTCCTCCCTGGAATGTCACTTGTCCCTGGCAGGCAGATGTCAGTGTTCAGTCACCGCGGGAACAAGGCTGTCATGGCGTCCCATCTCCTCCAGTACTTGGGCAAGGCGACTGAGGTTGCCGTCAGGAAAATGCTGGGCCTCCCACAAGTCCAGGATCACTCCAGTGGGGCTGGATTTGGTGGCAAAGTAGTTAAGATACCTAAAAGAGTGATCATGTGAAACCAGAGAGAGGTAGGTTAGAAAAGCAGACAAATGGTTAATAGAGAG